TGCTAGGGACATGGCTGCAGAAACTGCCACTGATCACACACTTACACGCATGCTGACATGGGTGTTGTCAGGATGGCCCGACAAGTGCCCAGATACTGAGTTCCAAAGCTTCTGGCACAAGAAGCATGAGTTTTCAAGGGTTGTCTGTTATGGGGTAGCAGGGTAGTGATCCCAGCCTCATTGAGGTCTAGAATCTTGATCTCTCTGCAGGAGAGACATCCTGGTATAGTCAGGATGAAAGCGCTTGCGTGCAGCCATCTTTGGTGTCCTGAGCTCGATAAAGCCATCGAGGCCCAGGTGCACAGGTGCCAATTGTGCCAACAGTCATGGCCTGAAATGCCTCAGGCCCCAGTATATAGGTGGGAGGAAACTCAAACCCTATGGTCTAGGGTGCATATAGATTATGCTGGGCCCTTTCAGGGGCAAGTCTTCCTGGTTGTTGCTGATAGCCATTCCAAGTGGCTAGAGGTTGTTTCTGTTTCCTCCACTACTACTGCCAGTACCATCCAGGTGTTGAGAAGAATTTTTGCATCACACGGTCTTCCAGATATTCTGGTTTCAGATAATGGCCCTCAATTTACATCTTCTGAGTTCCAGGCTTTCCTTCAAGCCAACATGACCCGGCATGCAATGTTGGCTCCTTTCCATCCATCCTCCAACGGACTGGCAGAGAGAATGGTGCACACTACCAAAGATGCTCTCAAGAAACTGACTTACGGTAACTGGCATCACAGGTTAGCAAATTTCCTTCTTGCACACCGCACCACACCATGCACAGCCACAGGGAAGAGCCGTGCTGAACTCCGCTGGGGTTGCTGACTCATTACCAAACTGGACAGGCTGCACCCTGACCGGGTGGCTTCACAGGTGTCACAACCGCAGGAACCTAGGAGACTCCAGTGGGCGATCTGGTTTGGGCAAGAAACTATGGGCCTGGACATCTCTGGGTCACAGCTGTGGTCTGCAAGGTCTCTGGGCCATTGTCATACGAAGTTGCCTTGGGTGACGGCCGTGTTCTTTGCAGACACATAGACCAACTGCGTTGGAGACTGGACTCTCACCATTCCACTCCTGGCTCTGCTCTGGGGGGGGGGAGGACCATAATATGCATTCTGGGTCAGAGGTCCCAGGCTTAACAGGCCCTCACTGGCTGCTGCTGAGGCCATTTGGGATTCATCCCAAGGTTCCACAAGTGCTCCAAACAGGAATTCACTGGATAGGGAGTCACACCGGGGGTATCCACAGTATTCACATATGTCAGATGATGGTCCAGACAGGGAGACTGACTGGAGGTATCCACATAAATCACAAACAGCAAGAGAAAAGGAATTCCATCAAGGGCGCTTGCATAATTCAGCAATTGCTCCCAAGAGGAAGTCACCAGCTAGGGGGGTTGCCATGGAGGTGGCTCCTGACTCTGGCACCTCTGGCACGTGCTTAGGGGCAACAGAGTACTGGGGCACTTCCGCTACCCAGGCCTCTCCATTTGCTGGCCTTGGGCTCGAGGAACAGTGTTCCCAAGAGGGGTCCATTGTGGACTCGGGGACTTCCACCCTTCCAAGGTATGCTGGCTTGGACTCAGAGGGTCCAGCCAGTCAGTAGCTGGGTGGGTCAACCGGGTACTTGGGGCAGCAAAGTCCTGGCCTGCCTAGCACTTTGCTGCCCCAAGTACCCGGTTGACCCACCCAGCTACTGACTGGTAGGCGAGCAGGTAGGCCAGGCACCCTCACCAGGGTCACCTGGATATTTAGGGCAGCAACGTCCTGGCCTGCCTAGCCTGGTAGGCGAGCAGGTGGGCCAGACAATCTCTCTGGGCCTTAGAAGGTCGCAGCGGGCCAGATGCCCACCCAAACATCTGAGAGACTTTGTGAGGTTGCTGTCAAATCATGAGGGACTTTCTTATGAGGCCCCTGAATGAAGGGAGTAATTCGGGGTTAGATTATTTTGCATTATTTTGATTTCGGATACATTTATTTGTGTTAATAAATATTGAAGGGGGTTTGCCTGTGTGCAGACTCGAGTATTCCACACTTTTTGCATTTGAATAATGCAGCTGTATGTCACTCTTTCCAGTGCATGATGTACCTGTGTGTACGCGAAGTATGTTCCATCTAGTGGGGAGGGATGTTGTGTCCTAAGCCTGCAAAAGTAGGCTTGGGACGTTGCATTGGTCCAGGGCATTCCAAAAGCTGCCCGGGACCAGACAGAGCGGCACCAGCCTTGTGCACATGTGCAAGGCGCAAAAATGCTCTGTTCCTATTGGTTGACACTGTCTGGGCTTCTGGCCATATAAAAAGGCCTGCGTGTCTTTTGTGTTTGCTTGGTTGTTGTAGAAGGAGAATAAAGTGTTTGTTCGTCATCGCCATGTGTCTTCATCATTCGCAAGTGAACGAAGGACTTAACAAGCATGCTATCTTTTTCTCTCTCCCTCTTGGGCAGTGTAAGACTTTTTTTTCCTTAGAAGTGAAAGCAAGGAATTAGCATTCCAATTATTGCAATTATTAACTATGGGAGACAGCAAAAGTTTTGTCTATTTCACACTTGAAGATTGAAACTGAGGGACTGGCAAAAAGTGTGTCATTTTTTCATTGACTTTCTCTTTCCAAGCTTTCCAAGCAAAGACTTTTCTAGTGAGAAAATGAGAACGAGTTTTGGCAATCATATCATCTCCTTCCAGGTTCCCTGTTGACTTGTGGAAAGTGTCAGGGAATATTAGAAAATGTGGACCACATGATTATGCCTAACTAGGGCAATGTTGAACAGTAACAGTGCAGTGGAGTTGAAGCAGTAAAAAAATCTCCCAAATTTCATTGCCTCAGGACTAAAAGGTCCTGGCATTCTGAAAGATAACCTGTTTGAGGTACCTTTTTTGACAAAGTTTTGCCCTAGGATTCAGCATTTTTCCCAATTGAAGGTTATAAAGTATCAAACAGATACAATAATGTTAGTAGTATATAGATTATAATTTTTTCCTTACTAATTTTGTGTATTTTTTAGACTTTATTAAATCCTTTAGTTAATATTTTGGAAACATTATGTTGTTATCACTGTGACAAACAAATCTGAGAAAGTCTATGTGTAAGGAACCGCTTCAAAACCTCTTCCCAAGAAAGCAGAACTCTTGGAACAGATTCATCCCAAAAGGAACTTTTATTAGGAGAAGTTGACAGCAGGCATAGAAGGCAGGATCTGAGGGTTTCCAACTTAAATCAATAGGTTAAAGGAGCAAAAAGTAAACCTCAGCCCAACAGTTCATCTGGTCAGTTTAACCAGGCCAATCCCCAGGTGTTAAGTCCACTGTGGGAACGAGGCTAATAAGACTCCATTCCAAAGGCTGTGAAAACATTGTTGGGTCTTCGCACCTTCTCTTCCGCAGTGAGAGATAAGCCAGATAGCTGGAGGCACATTCTTTTCTCACCCCAGGGTGACACCAAGGGGAGAATAGTTCAAAGAGCAAGCAGATAGAGGAAGCGGAGAGGATACATTGTAGCAGCTAAGCAAAAGGGCAACATACATACAGTCCCCCAAAGATCTCCCCTCTCCCTCTAGGACAGTGATGGCAAACCTTTTAGAGACCAAGTGCCCAAACTGTAACTCCAAACCCACTTATCGCTGGGTGGGCGTGGCTGCGGTGGTCACGGCAGACTGGGTGGGCATGGCTGCGGTGGGCATGGCCACCTCGATGTTGCTCATGGGGAGAGATGCTTATGGGGGCTGGGCAGGATTGGGGGAGATCCAGGGGGTTTCTGGTGGGTGGGGCAATGGGTAGGAGGTTCATCCTGCAGGGTGAGGTGAGGTGAGGCAGGGGGCAGGGCAGGGGTGTCATTGCTGTGGGGCAAGGCAAGGTGAGGCAGGGGACAGGGAGGCTGCTGCCTAACATCATTGGCCCCTGCACATAGATGCCAGTGAGCACATGGGGGCCAACGGTGTCCATCAGCAGCCACAACCTGTCAACCCCTCAACTGGCGCACTCTGGGGTTCTGTAGCCAGCTGCAAATACTGGGCCAGCCTTCTAGCAGCAGGCGGAGTAGGGGAGAGGGGAAGCACATGAGGCAGACCACCAGATGTGCCTACTCCATTCCATTTGTTTTTGATTGCGGTTGGAGAGCAGGTCGCTGCTGGTCATCTCCTTAGCCCCCTCGCAGATCTTGCCCTTGGCCTGCATGTGGAACTTGTTCCCCTCACACATCCGACACACCTTAGCCCTGCCTTGGGCCGCCACCAACAGCAGCTCGTGCAGGTCCATTAGGCTGCCACCACCGCCTCCTACCCAGCCCTGCACATGAGATGATCTAAGTACATCAAACAGCAATAAAATAACAAGATCCAATAACTGAACTCAGCCATAATACTCTTGATAACATAAGGCAGCTGGCATCTTTGTTCTCATAATAAATATAAATGATGAGACATAGAACAAAGGTTCTAAAAGCAATACCAGCCACAGTTGCTCGTTACTGGTGATTATGTATAAACAATATCCTTAGATCACCCAGAGATGCCCAAATAGAAAAATTAATGGAAGAAAAAGATCATAATAATGTTGATGTCTGCAGATCTCCTGCCGAGATTCAGAGGAGATCAGTTAAAATAAATCCATATAATAGATGTGTTCAGACTGAGGCAGGGAAGATTGATGTTACATACCATGAAGATTGAGTATAGTAGGAAAATGAGCAAAGGAAGCCTAGTCAGAATAACTAGATAACTTAGGGAGATGCTTATAAAAGGATATTGAGAAAAAAGTGACAAGTTGGGAACAAGTGTTTATCTTCTAATGAAGATTCATGGCTGTTTCAAGAAAGCTGCTGTTACAGAAAAGGGTGGAAACCAAGAAAACCCAGATCTTCCAGGCAGATTTAAAAAAAATCTTTATCAATCCTCCTTTAGTTTTAAGTTTGTACAATTATCACACATCACTCATTACAGAAGTCAAAGGGGAAAAATGCAAAATGGATGAACAAAACGTAGTGCGACATTGCATTTTCTATCTTTCTCACCCTAGATCAGCATTTCTCATTTTCAGCAATTTTAAGAAGTTTATATTTCAACTTCCAGAATTCCACAGTCAGTCAGCCAGCAAGACTAGATTAAACTGGAGTAGATGATCTGAATAGAAAGAATATACCAAAACAGAATGGAGTTAGCCAGACCCCTACTCCAGCAGGAGTCTCTCTTCTACACATTGTTAGAGAACAGAATAAAAACAAATAAATAAAGGAGGTGGCCTGAAAGCCAGGACAAGTCTTAATATTTTCAGTCTGTCCCCGTCACAGTACTGCACCTAAATTATGAACAGGATTATTATTTTTTTAGCCCGGGAATCATTCATTTCAGGATCAATTCAGAACAGTATGTACCTACAGCCAGGATTCTGAACAAAACAGATTCAAGTTTGTCCACATTCTAAAGGAAAAATAAGAATGTGTCTGAAGTCATCTCATTGCTTCTCAAGACCCTGGCTCCAGATGCATCTGATTCACATCCTGGTTGGTAACTAGTCCTCATGTCTAACTTCCTCTGAATAACAATTATCAGAGTACATAAGCAGAACAGTGTCATTGTACTCATGCCCTGCTGCTGAGCACTGACTGAGAGTGGTAGAATGCTAGATTAGATTGGCCTGATCTAGCAAAGTTCTTAAGGGGAACTAGGTTCAAATTGCCCCTAGGTTGTGGAGATACAGGAAAGAAGCCATTAAACATTTAAGTGGTTCTCAATTCCATGCATTTCTCTTGATGAGTTATCATAGTGTGGGAAGGCAGCTCCCCCCCCCAGAGAAGGAAATATTAAAAGGGCAGAAAAATATATTTCTTCAAAGGATCTTAAAGAGGCAGAAAAGCATGCCCATTTTTTTCTTAATATCCCCAAGTCTCCCTCCCCCAAGCAGAAACCAGCTCTGTAGAAATGCAGATGTAACTCATTCAGGAAGGTTGAAGCTAGAAGATTAAGAAGACAAAGACACCTAAAATCTACATACACCACCCAAACTCTAAGACAGGGCATAATAGGATTAATCCACAGATGCCAAAGGGGCATACTCAGACTCAGGTCAAAAGGACATGACACAGGAAATACAAAGCTTCAAACAGGAACAGGAAACAATCTCAAGAGCCCCAGAGGGTATAAAAACCCACTTCCGACATGTGCTCTCTCTCTTTTCTTCCAGAGCCATCTTTCTGTCTGGCTCTCTTCTTCAATAAACTGCAACCTTCTTTCTAAAGCAGTCACCATGTTGTTTATTCCCAGCTTGGACTGAACCATGATGAAGACTTTTCCTTCAACTATTTGGCACCCAGGATGAGACTCCAAGCTAACCTCTCCAGTGAACTGAGACTGGTAAGCCCCATCTTGCCAGCAGCAGACCCCTGTCTGTGGATGGGTTTCCCAGGCCCTGCCCATGTGGAGCCAGGGTAGTAAAGGGAGTTTTGGGTTTGAGCTCAAGGGCTGCTTTGGAAAAAAGGTGAAGGTGAGTACCTCTAAATTTTAACTTTAAAGCCCAGGGGAGTGAGAGAAATGTGTTTATGTCTCTGTGTGAGTGAGAAGACCCTTTTTCCCAACCACAGTTGGATTTTGCTCCCTCTGGCCTGTCCTAACCGCAGAAAGGATCTGTTCAAGTGGCAGACCCTGGAAAGCATGGGGGTTTGGCCAGAGCGCAGGACCTTTTATTAGGGAAAAGGGAGAGGCTGTGTGCAAATGGAATGAGTGAATGAGAGAATTGGATTTGGGCAACCAGCTGGTAAGGCACTGTAAGCAAAGCCCATCTGTAGGAGGGGCTCATACTAAGGCACAAAGCATAGGTCCTCCCAGACTCCTCCTGAGTCTGAAAACTGAAGGCAGTGAGGAATAAGAAGGCACCAGTACCTGTCTGAACTGAGGGTGTGTCCTTCCTTCTCATTAGGTGGCCAAAGTATTTGAGTTTCAACTTCAGGATCTGGCCTTCCAAAGAGCAGTCAGGGTTGATCTCTTCTAGGACTGACCGGTTTGAATGCCTTGCAGTCCAAGGGACTCGCAGGAGTCTTCTCCAGCACCATAGTTCAAAGGCCTCAATTCTTTGTCACTCAGCCTTTCTTATGGTCCAACTTTCACAGCCATACATTGCAACTTGAAAAACCATGGCCTTTACTATACGCACTTTTGTTGACAGTGTGATGTCTCTGCTTTTTAGTATGCTGTCTAGATTTGCTATAGCTTTCCTCCCCAGGAGCAAGCGTCTTTTAATTTCTTGCCTGCAGTCCCCATCTGAGGTGATCTTGGAGTCCAGGAAAATAAAATCTGTCACTACCTCCATTTCTTCCCCATCTATTTGCCAGGAATTGAGAGGGCCAGATGCCATGGTTTTGGTTTTCTTAATGTTGAGTTTCAAGCCAACTTTTGCATTCTCCTTCTTCACCTGTATCAAGAGGCTCTTTAGTTCCTCTTCACTTTCTGCCAGTAGAGTGGTGTCATCTGCATATCTTACGTTGTTGATATTTCTCCCGGCAATCTTAATTCCAACTTTTGATTCATCTAGCCCTGCCTTTCTCATGATGTGCTCTGCATATAAGTTAAATAGGCAGGGTGACGGTATACAGCCTTGCCGGACTCCTTTCCCAATTTTGAACCAATCAGGGTTCCATGTCCAGTTCTCACTGTTGCTTCTTGACCCGCATATAGGTTCCTCAAGAGACAGATAAGATGGTCTGGTATTCCCATCTCTTTAAGAACTTGCCACAATTTGCCACAAGAGCTCCCTAGGTAGGAGAGACCAATACATTAGGGAACCAAAGTCCTCCTGGGCATTTTTTATATGTGCCCCAAAACCGATGGCGGGGCGGCAGGGATAGTGTCCCTAAGAGTGGCTGGGAAGTCCGCTAGGGACCTGACGTAGCCGATTGAACCCATCGGAAGGGGAACATGGGTAGCTGTAGTTCGAGGGTCGGAATTAGGTCACCCATCCTAGATGGCATGAAAAAGAAATGAGCACAGAACATTTGAAAAAAATGGGCTTTCCTTAGGGCTTTGCTGAGAAACCAATTTGGCTAAATAAAGGTACTTAAAGGGAAAATAAGAAATAGTGATTCTCTCTCTCTCTCTCCCTCTTTCTCTCTGCAACCTGTGCCTTCCCTAATTTGAGTTAACTGAGATTTATGGTGGGAATGACCAGAATATGTAAAACTAAGACTTCTGTTTTCCTTTTCTGTTCTCTTTTCTCCTTTGTGTGTATATGTGTGTCAAAGACTTTGTGTGTGAGGTAAATGTGACTATTAATTGTCTCTAATCCAAAGAGAAAAGAATTTTAAAATTCTGCTAGAAATTCTGCTTAAAATAAGCCATCGTAAGGAAAATATCCTCACTCTGTTTGTCTGGCCAACAAAAAAAAATTTTTTTTTTGCTCCTTTCTCTCTTAAGAGAACAGACTCTTAAGAACAGCTCAAAGTTACCAGGAGGGAATGTTTTAAGTTCATCTGCTAGAAAAGTTTCACTCTTGCATTTACTATATGTGTTGTAAATGGGTTTTATTTGTCTATCCTTTTCCTGAAACCTGCCCAGCATTTTTCAAGTTGCAACTCTTTAGTCAACTTTAATATGTTACAAATGTTCAGTTCAGAAATGAGACTTTCATTTTGTTGTCCTCTTACCAGAATTCAGCCTTTTTTTGTCCTCATCTGTGTTGTCCCCATCTTATCTGCTCTTTTAACCATTGTAGTATTAATGCCCTTTCAAACTCTGTCTGCAAGCTACCCCCCATTCTACTTCTCCTTTTCTTATCCTCTGTTCTCCATGCCTTTGTCTGCCTCTCCTGGGAGAGTCCACCCAGAAAGGGGGGAAGGAGATCTTGCTCTCATGTTTTTCAGCCCTACACAGATGACCCCCCCCCCAACCTTTGGAAGCAGAGCACACTGACCCAGATGCTGCCTCCATCCATTTGAGCCATGGAATTAGGTTTTGAATTCAGCCATCCATTAAAAAGCCACCATGCAACTAGAATGGAACAGACCTTCCCAAGTCCTACCATTCCCCCACATGCCTGTGAAAGCTGCAGAGGAAGGAAGGAGTCCTGGAGACATTGGTCCCCACATGAAGCCTCAGAAGAAAATTGGGAAGACTATGGGGGGATGGTGGAAACTCATTGTAAGGTTTCTTTCTTGCCCTATTTGTGTTGTAATAAGCCAGTTGAATGGATTCATGGAGTGATGGTAATTGGGAATAGTTGCCACAGCAAGTACTGAACACCTTGGACTCCTGTCTGGTGGGAGGGAAAATTTGTCCTGGATGCTTGTATTGCCTGTTTTGTAGAAGCAGCTGCACACACACACACACATACACACACACACACACACACACACACCATTCATAACCACACTGAGTCTATCTCTTTCACCTACTTTCAGTAAAGCTCCAGCCTGATTCTTGCCCTGCGTCATTAAAACTTTGTAGGAATAACTTCCAGCAAATTCTAAGGGGGAGGGAACCAGGCCCCCTCAGTGATTTCCAATTCATATGCCCTCACTGAAGAGGTAGCAGAAAATAGATCTCCAAACCTAAGCCCTGAATATCTTGCACTGGTGGACTCAAATTGGGAGTCCTAGGGCTCACTATGAGCAATTTAAGAAAATTTAATAGCCTGGCTTGCATACTGGCTAACCTCAATTGGACATTACAAACTGGATGCACTGAACTAAGAGCTAAGGCAGGAAATAACCCTTGAAAGTGGGCAGCCAGTGGTTATGTAATAAACTCCCCCCCCCACCTCAAACGTATTCACTAGGCTAGGGCCAGAAGCTTTTCAAAAATTTGTTTTTTATAATAATCTGATAGTGATTATTAAGCCACAAATGACCACAGTAAGGTGACAATGCATACATTTTTGTTGACCCCTTCTGGTGATTAATTTGTTGTGTGAACATGGCCCAAGTTTGCTCTTCACCCAAGAGCAAAAGTCAACAGAATCAGAAGTTTTTGGCAACTGTTTTTTCTGCTTGTTTATCTAAATAGGCCTGTGAGTAACATAGATGGCTAAAAAAAGCTGCTGCCAGTCCCTTCATTCCCCCT